TCACAGACCTGTCGAACCAATTAGGCTAACTTAGGATAGAGTTGATGATGGGTGTTGGTCTGCAAGTCGGTGAACTCATTTTGAACCGACATAGGGTCACTTATTGGGTCCATCTTCACCCGAGGGTTCTTTGGATTACTTGCATGGTGCAATGCCGAAACGCGTTTGCGTAATCCAACAAACCCGCGAGTGAAGACGGATTCAATAAGTGACCCTATGCCAGTTCAGCATAACTTAGGATAGCGTGATTTTTACTTTGTATAAACGTATTTATTGGCGCGAATGAAGGGAGATCGTTAACGTGAAAATCGTCTTGTCGGGCTCCAAACCGTAGGGCAAGGCTATATATAATTTTCATGCAGTGGTAGTGGTGGGATCAGAGCAGTATATCGAGAATTCTTAGGGGCCTCCAAATTTAGCTTAGTTTAGGTAAGATATTCTTTCATATATCACGAATACTATTTTAATTCACTATTTTAATCACGTGTGGAAGGGATAAACATAGGGGTAATAAAACAAATGCGAGATAGTAAAAACGTGAGGAACAGACAATATTCACCCCCATCTGTTTGCCGCCCAGAAAAAATAAATAAATACATTTTAACCAAGAATTATAAGCTTAACGAACATGGACCTAAACCGAGATGAACACAATTTATTAAACAAAGGCTTAAAATTTATCCCAAAAACTGAACTACAGTAGATAAAATGATGTTACTATTCCTTGGTTCAACAGTCCAGATCCATAAAGAAAATAAACCAATAAGACCAGTAGTGTCCTTTTGTAATTAATAAAACCTTAAAGTGATAACTTTTGTCCAAATAATTAACAGTTTGTGAGTAGAAATAGCCTTACAGCCTTTGAGACGGGTCTTAATACATTAAAAACAAACAAAAAGAGGAAGAGAATGGAATGGTAAACATTTAATTTTTATGGCAAGGAAAAGCAACAAAATTTATTCATTTGTGATGTGAACTCATGGAAATAGTCTCGTCCCTTTTTCCTTTATAACTTTTATATGACAAGCCTAACTTCCAGTTGGGCCTAGGTTATAAAGTAGTAAGAAAGAAATTGTGGTGTCGTGAAGAAAGAATATATGTAAAAGGGTAGCAATAAAAAGCGGACCCTCTTTCCCCTGGGTGAAAGTAAGGTTTGGAGATAAATCAAAAGACTAAACATAAGCAACAGCAACTGTGTCCCAATGCGATGAAACGAAAAAACAACGTAGTGGGGGCGGAAGCGCCTGCCGAGAAGGAGCAATGCCCCCGGTCCAAATCTCCAAAATAAGGTCACACGGGGGGTGGTTGTGTTTTGCCGGAAGCGTCCCACCAAAAACTAAAGTAAAAGTATTAGTGCTAAGAGGAAGCTTTCTTGCAGCTATTTCCTCTCGGTTCCCTTCTATTGGATTTTGTCGAAGGCGACAATTTTTAAGGGCAAAGTTGCTGCAACTAATCGTAAGATTTTATTAAGTTTATCTTCAAAGCTCTTGATCTTCCCAAATCAATCTTCTGTGGTTCTATTGCTGAATGCATAATAAATTTAAAACGTGAAGATAACTAGAAAATGTTTTAACGAATTTAACATAACTGAACTAAGTTTCACAGCCAGGTGTAATTTTAACAAATTACTCAATTACTGTCATACAAAACATCAGGTATTTTCCCCAATTAATTTATATAATTTTTCTTTTTTTCACGAATAATCTTGATGTCTGTATGGTCTTAGTGAAAAAACAAAAAAACAAATTCAATTTTTATCTGCCAAGCTTTCGACATATTTAAAGGTCATCACTTCATCATCAATTCACGGCAAGAGAGGGTTATTTTTATTAGTTTTCCTTTGTATATCATTTAATAGAAGTTTGAAAATAAAACATTATAAAAAAGGGTTGAATAGTAAAAAAAGAAAGAAATTTCTATTAAAAATGTTAGATGTGTCCACTTTCTTAACTCACGAATAATCTTGATGTCAGTATGGTCTAAATGAAAAAAATTTAATTGTTATCTGCCAAGCTTTCGACATATTTTAAGGTCATCACTTAATCATCAGTTCTCGGCAAGAGAGGGTTATTTTTATTAAAGTTTTCCTTTGTACATCATGTAATAGAAGTTTGAAAATAAAACATTATAAAAAAGGGTTGAATAGTAAAAAAAGAAAGAAATCTCTGTTAAAAATGTTAGATTTGTCGACCACTTTCTTAACGCACGAATAATCTTGATGCCAGTGTGGTCTGAATGAAAAAAAAAAATTCAATTGTTATCTGCCAAGCTTTCGACATATTTTAAGGTCATCATTATCAGTTCACGGCAAGAGAGGGCTATTTATATTAGTTTTCCTTTGTATATCATTTAATAGAAGTATGAAAATAAAACATTTATAAAAAAGGGTTGAGTAGTAAAATATAAATGAAATTTCTGATAAAAGTGTTACATGTGTCGACCACTTTCTTAGCTCACGAATTATGTGGATGGCGGTTTGGTCTGAATGAAAAAACAAATTCAATTGTTATCTGCCAATAATCTGTTTTAAGGTCATCATCAGAAAGGCATAATTAATTTTTTAATAAATAGTTTCAAATTTCTTTGAAGACGGTGCCAAGAACTGTGTCTTACAGTGGTAACAGTCCTTGGCAATGTTGGGACTGTTTTAGTCTTGGAAGAAATTTGGAATTATCAACCAAAACAATTACACGTTAATTTGTAGGCATCTTGAGGATTGTTTTGCCCTGATGAAGACCTTAAAATATGTCGAAAGCTTGGAAATAACAATTGAATTTGATTTTTTTCATTCAACAGTTAAGAAAGTGATCGACACATCTAATACTTTTAACAGAAATTTCATGCTATTTTTATTATTCAACCCTTTTTTATAAATGTTTTATTTTCAAACTTTCATTACACGATGTAGAAAGGAAAAAGTTAATAAAAATAACACATTTCTCACCACGATCTAATTGTTCGTCGAATTTAAAAAAATATTTTTTTAAAGCATTGAGAAACAAAATAGTACTAACACATGGACTAATCAAGAATAGTTTAAAAATAGCGTGAGACACTTTAGTGATTAAATTGGAGTAATAAGATTAATAATTGAATTCTACTATCAAAAAACTTTTATATTTGCAATTAATAATAAGAAAATTACATAAAGCCAACCAGTTTTCCCCACATCATTGAAAGGCTCCTTTTTCCAACCCAATTCAAAGCATATTGCTATAAAATGAAAAAGATTTTCTTTTTTACTACGTAAGGAACACAGTTTACGAAAAATGTATCGTTTAAATTTAGTGGATCGCTTCTGCATTTGAAAATTAGCCTCTTATATTGGCCTGATTTTTAAAATTCATATTGGAATTGTGTCAATCCTAAGTAGAACAGTTTCAATATACTTTTGTTTGAAGTTTAAAGTGTTAAAAATTGATTCCGATATGCCAAATCCATTCTGCTTGTTGTTATAAATCGTTACAAAAAATAATTTTCTTTCTGATCATTTTATTCGGTAATATGTTTGGGTAGCGTCCTTTTGTCATATTATTTATTTTTTTATTTATTATTCATTTTAGTCTATCAATGAAAATTGAGGCCTGTTTCAAGGCGTAGAAAACATTGAGGGTGGCATAAGAAATAAGGAAGTGTTTTTGAAAGGAAAACCTGTGGGTTCGCTCAATTTCTTATACTCTTTATCTCCTTAACTAGAAAACCATAGCAAAGTTTACTCCGAAAAATACTGTCGATCCACCATCCCCAGATATCTATTGACAATTTCAATCTGATCGCCACTAAAAAACCGTTTCCCCCCCCCCCCGGTTTGCCACCATTTCTAAAATTCTTAACATAACGTTTTGTTACTTTCTGAAAATTTGTGATTGTAGGTGACAAAGATTTTCAAATAAGCATCAGGTCAAGTTAATATATAATAAATAATTAATAAATGATAAATAAATACAGGCTTAATGTTTAATTTGAAATATTGAGCAAGCCGTTCAAAGAATCTTACAAAAACTGTGGACGATCAATCAAAAGTCAATCTGTTCTTTTCAACCGTGAAAACTCGATCAGCACAGGGCCGCGTCTCGCAATTTTCCAAAGGAAAGAAAGCTCATCAAGGCTAAAAGATATTTTTTTAAACTCACCTGTTGGCAAATCCAGTGAAATCATACCACAGACTCAACAAGATTCGAATGTTTTCCATTCAGATATTTTAAGCAAGCGATAAAAGGTAAATATTATTTTTAAAAAACCAGCAAGCAAGTCAAAAGAGAAAATCAACGTCACATCTTAAAATTCTATTCAACAAACCGATTTAGCATTTTGTTGTGGTAGTGAGCGGTGGGTTTGACAGATCATCGGAAGTAATCGATACGCCAGTTTAAACCTCCTTCTGAATGTAAAAGCATTCATTTGAGGATTTATTTTCTGCTGAGTGATTGCATAATGAAACAACAAAACTCTGTTATCAAAACCAAGCTATGTCCACATTGTTTCCCTTAACCGACAAGTCTTATTAAATTAACATTTTGAAAATTGAACTAAAACCCCTCAATTAATCAAAAATTTGATAGATTATTTACTAGGAGTAGTCATTATTTTTACACTGACTTTTTAACCCTTAATTATTACTAATTATTGGATTCAAGGATTTTGATACTTAATGCATAGATTTATATAGAAATTGTGTATCTTTTTGTTGTTTTATGTCTGTTTTCGTATTTTTTTTCTAAAAGTTTGCTCCTAGAAAAATATATTTTAATTATTTATTGATGAAAAGAAAGGTTATCGAAAAAGGGCCAAATAAAGAGCTCTACCATGTTTTATATTAAGGATGGGTTGTTGCGATACTAGTCATTTAACAAAATAACTACCCAAAACTATTTACCCTTGAAAGTAATTGAAAACTGTGTTTGGGTATTTAATTGTGTTGAAACAAAGTATTTTTGTGGTAATGCGAAGTACGTAATAGAAGGCCATTTTAATTCTACCAGAGTATTAAAGTAGTGTACCGTGAAGATTTTGGTATTTTGAGTATGCAGGTAGCCGGAAGCTCGGGTATGACGGTCGAGTCATCTGTCACGAAGACGAGGCAAGGCGCTGAACTGTCATCGGACTCGAAGAGCTGTCGCGACCTCGGGATGTCAAGGTCAGGCATCCGCATCCTCAGAAAAATTGAGGATACCGAGTGGGATGCTGGCCGCAAACTGCCGCCCCCAGTGAAAATCATCCCCCGACAAGGAACGGCACCAGTCGTGCCACCCTAACCACTGCAGGGCCGAAGTGGGGGCGCCCGGGGTCGCTCTATAAACTTTCCACCCTCGCGAATCATTGTCAAGGACGAAACCTAGAACTTCACCTCAAATTAAAGAGATCCAACAGTTAATTTCCGAGATTGAGCATGCTAGCGAATTGACTTAACCGCCCAAACGGAAACGTTACGGCTATTTCGGATATTTATCCCAGTAATCCACCAATTTCCCCTGCCCCCAAATTTCCCAACTTTCACCGAAGAGGATCATTTAATTTTAAAAGAAATTGAAGCCATCATTATTTATCTATTTTTATGAAACAACTGCCTAATTAAGTCTTGTAGGAATAGAAAATAGTTTCGCCAATTTGCATTATTACATAAATTTTCTCGCCATCCCAATTTGTAACTTGTACTGTTTACATTGCAATGTACTCAAAGTTTTAAGCTCTTCATATTGGAATATAATAGTAACTCTAATAGCCTATGATACTCAACTCCGACTTTTTAACTTCATGAAGCTTATGCGGGTATACCCTGATAATCAAACAGACGGAAACTCATTTACAGGTGTTGGGTCTGTCATCTCCTAAACACTACACCCCACATCTTTCTCCTCTTCCTATCCCATTCACAATCCTAATCTCACAATCCAGCCCCAATGTAAGGAGCCTCAAGTGTACCAGGTGACCCCTTGAGAGAGACTTCCTCCGGTGTGAACCTTTAGATCCCTCATACTTGTGGGAATCACATGGATTAACCAAAAGAAAACAAAAACAAAACACCGGGGGAACTTGGAACGGAAGACCCAGAAACCAACTTATGGAAACTGAAGAGGATCCGTACCCTCTACAACTTCCATAAACTCTGGGGGGGGGGGGCTAGACACAAAAAACTTATGCTAAAAATAACCCTCTTCAAGACTGGCCTACTCACTGCTGCAATTGGATAGGGCCAAACTCAGAGGAGTGAACTATTTACCGGTCTCTGGCATCGGAGAAAACGCTTACGAGAAAATGTTATACATTTTAACATAATAACGCATAATAACATTGCGTATTCATTGATGATCCCATTTGCAGATTATGCAATGAGGAGGAAGAAACAGTTACCCATATCATCTTCAATGGCGAAGTAACGGCTCCTAGTATACAAAAAAACGGAATGAAATTGTACCAGCGACAGTCAATGAGTTGATACTTTTGAAAAGAATTATTGAGTCAATCGCACTGAACTAGGGAACTAGGAAGGTACAATTACCCAGAAAGCGCAAGTGCCTGGAGAGGATCACAAACCTCGGTTCGTGGTATTCATCATCATCATGAATTTTCTACCCACAAACGCTGCCGCTTATTTATAATTTTAAACCATCCATTTATGAAACTGTCAAGTGTTTTAACAATATCTATTCTGGGCTGTCCATATCCTCCAACTCAGTAGCTCCAGTCTACCAAGGATAACTTTAAGAAGTAACTATCCAACCTTGAATTAAGAAGACGGTCTTCAGAGGAGAGTCCGTGATTAAATGTTCTCTACGAGCACGAACAGCTATAGCTGTAGGTATTCTAAAAAACTAAAAATGTGTCTGTTTAAATCGATTATGAATCTGCCGATTTTATTGGACTCGTTTATTGTTCATTATGTGTTTGCTTCAAAAAGATACCATGTCTAATCTGAACAATTAACTTGTATACCGTGGCATTTTTGTGAATAAGAACGAGGTGTTTTTCAGCAATAAAACGGCAGCGCAGTTGGCTGTTTGCTAAGTAAACACTGAAGGAAAAAAATGAAAAGGGGGATCGGCGACATTCACCCTCAGGCTCCCTCTCACCAGAAAGACGATCAAGCAACAAATACATCCACAAATGTGTATTGATTTTGAAGTTTTGACCATTTAAAAAATTTTGGAATGACGGAAATAAATAGTGGTCACAAGGTGAAATGTCCGGAAAGTATGGGGCATGTGATAAAACTTTCCAATTCAGCTTCGTCAATAATTGTTTGGTTCTCAAAGCAACGTGAGGGCGGGCATTGTCGTGGTGAAAGACTACACCTTTTCTGTTTGCTAGCTAGTAAAGGCAGTTTTTGCTCTGTTAGAAGGTCCAAACAGGGTTAGCTGTTCATAGTACAGTCCTTTTCTCGTTATGGCGAAAGTCAAAACGCGTGTGGTATGTCCTACCAAGTGCATATCAATTTTTTTTTTGTACATTTGTATTTTGATCATTAGTATCATTTCAGTTGCAACAATCGCATTGTTCCCTTTTGGAAATGCATAGTCTGACTTGCAAAATCATCCTGGAATATGTTCCTAGTCTTTTTATTTCTCTGGAGCAGTGTTCAATTGATACGATTTCTGAGTGGAAAACTAGAACAGGAGTAAATTGTTAATATGGCGATGTCATTCGTTTATGTGGGAGTAGGTGCACGCTGATTTGTGAGCATATCAGAAGTAAAAATTAAGTGCAACAGCGGAGCGAGTATTGCCCCTTGTGACACACCTGCCAGTACCTCCCTCATCTCAGAAGTCTCTGATCCCGGGTTTACGAAAAATCTCTTCTGTTGGTATGATTGTATAATCAGATAATAGGCCTGGAGTCTCAATAGTTTTAATTTGTAGAATAGTCCCACATACCATACTTTGGTCGAAAGCCTGCTAAATGCCTAAAAACACTCCAGTCGGGAACGACGAGAAAGTGTCAATTCCTAGTAAAACTCTCATTTCGGCAACTTCTATAAAAATTAAGATAGCCAACCCGGACTAACGCAAAAAATCTTAAAAATGATCTAGTTTTGAAATCCAAAATAAACAATCGGGAGTCTCAAAAAATATACGTACGGGACATTTTATGTCAAAAAACAACGAACCAAAAAGTTATTTAACGAACCACGAAACATCTAAAAGCTAGAGTACATAACGAAATTTTTTTAAAAAATTATCAAAATCAGACGAAAATTAAGGAAGTTAGAGGGACAGGTCATCATTTATCGTATTAAATGTCGAATGTCATAAGGTTTGAATACCTCGGAAAGATTTGCAGCAAATGTTCAGAAACGATTCTACTACATCAACATTCCTGAGGGGAGTTGAGACAACACTATGACAGAATAAGTTTATTACTACACCAGAAGAGATCATCCTCTGTTCACAAACTTTTAAAACATGCTAGTTATGATTGTTGTTTAAATAGTATTACTCGTATTATTTATACAGAGTGTCCTTTTTAGATGGTCCGGCTGAATTTATCTTGAACCAATGATGCTTTGAAAAAAAACACGTGTTTAATATTATTTAGTCTAGTTTCAAATTTTGGAGAAAAATTATACTGGTATCTTATACAGTTCAACTTCAAAATTTCAAATTCGACTTTTACATTCTGACACATCATTTGAAAGGATTTTTTAATCTGAAAACAATGGTGCAATCGGATTTTAAATTGGTCAAAAAAATGGCAAAGTTATGGCAAAAAGTTTGAAACAATGCATTTCGTTTGATTCGTTGTTATTCCAATAATTTGCTTCTTCACTAAAGTAAATCTTAATTGCTTTTATTGTTTACATTCTGCCATTGTTTGCCAAACTCGCATTTATTTTTTTCTTCAGCCTCCCAAATCGATATTTGTGCAAGGAACATTAGACGCCTGGCAAATCAGTGTCCTGAAGTCCCTGGACAAGAGGAGAGCGATACGGCCTAAAATTTTAAGTCCGTAGTACATTTCTAATTTTATTTGCTGAAAAACTTAAAAAACCGTTCCAATACTTCGGAGAGAGGAATTCGGATTTTAGAGAAACATTCAGTAATATTCAGCTCCTGTTTCTTGGTGATAGAATAGCAACTGATCCGTATCTCATATTGCGAGCAAGATAGGAAAAATGTGTTCGTATGTTCATTTTGAATGGAATACTGAATGTAACAAACAGGCACTATTGTAAAATTTATTTACTTCCAGGAATTAAGATTTGCTCTCATAATGCGAATTTGACAAACAATGACAGAATGTAAACAATAAAGGCAATTAATATTTACTTTAGTAGAAGAGAATAGTAATATTCCATAATAGTACACTTCCATAGTAGTATACTTACTTACTGTAATATTCCATAGTAATAATACTTTAGATTCCATCGTTGTTTTCAGCGTAAAAATTCCTTTAAAATGATGTGTGCGGATGTATGGGATCGTATTTGAAATATTGAAGTTAAATTGGGCGTGAAGTACAATTTTTCTCCAAAAAAATGTAAATATTTAAAACTAGACTAAAAAATATTAAATATATTTTTTATATATATTTGAAAATTTATATGAAATTCAGCCGGGCTATGTAAAAAGGACATATAGTAGTAACTATAGTACTATATACGGTTCGAAGTCACGATAGCTCAAGTGGTAGAGCGGGGGCGTATTTAGCCGAGTGTCGTGGGTTCGAATCCCGCTCGTGACAGTGACTTTTTTATCTGAACCAATACCTTACTTAAAGGTTAATTAATTGAAAGATGTGATAAGGTCAATCGGACCACGAAATCTAATGAATTGACTATGCATAGTATTATAGTAGTCAAAAGTTGTTAGTCATTTGTTTGTCAATGACTGATCCAGTATTTTGCTAAAAGTTTCTAGCTCTTTTTCTTTCGGATATTAATTGATTATGTAATTAGAATATTAAATATGTTATTCAATCAGAGGTTAAAACATTTTATTAGAGAATCAAATTGCATGGCTTGTAGGATGCAAGAGTTTGCATAAAAACAATTTATCAAGGTAAAAATATAAAAACGTTCGCAAGCTGGAAGAGATAACCATTTTTGACTCTTCACAGACAAAGGGACTTATTTCGAAAATCTTACTTCAATGAGAACTCGTTTCAGGAAATAATTGTAAAACCTGGGAAATAAGCCTCGATTTCATTACGATGCTCGGTTATAAGAATTAT